TGGGTGAAGAGAGAGTTGGTGAACTTGTAGATAAATCTAAAGAAATTTTATAGCCAAGAGATAAGATCAATGACTTAAAAAAAAAAACCAGTGAAAATTAGGATGACATTCTGGTACACATCTAATTATCATTCTTGAAGAGACACTAAAGAGAATGGAGGAGAGCCCTAATCAATGAGCTAAAGGCTAAGAATTTTCCAGAACTAATGGAAGATAGGAATCCACAGATACATTAAGTGCAATTTAATCTGAGTGGAATAGATAAAAAGAAACATACCAGCTGGGCAGTTATAGTGAAGCTGCAAGATACCAGTGACAATGACATTATAAAAGCAACCAGAGAAACCAGATCACCTTAATAAAAGAAGAAAAAACGGATTAGTCTAATATAATGAATTACAGACATAAACTTCTTCTGTCATGAAAACATTCTTCCCATTAGTGCTCTGCAGTTGAAATTGGAAAGTATGACTCTTCAGAAATATCCTGAAGAACGCAGATGCAAAATCCTCAACAGAATATTAATGAACAAAATTCAACAACACATTAAAAGGATCATATACCAATGTAAATTGGTATGACTACTGGAGAAAACAATATGAAGGGTCCTCAAAAATTAAAAAAAGCAATACCCTAAGATCTGGTAATTCCACTATTGGGTATTTACCCAAAGAAAATAAAAATACTGATTGAAAAGATAGATGCGCCTCTATGTTTATTGTAGCATTACTTACAATAGCAAAGATAGGGAAATAACTGAAGTTTCCCTGATAGACACTAATACTATGTGTATATATATATACATATATATATACGTATACACACACACACACACACACACACACTCTCTCTCTCTCTCTCACACAGCAGAATATTACTTGGCCATAAAAAAGAATGAGATCTTGCCATTTGTGACAAGGTGGCTGGACCCAGAGGGTATTATGCTAAGCAAAATAAGCCAAACAGAGAACAATAAATAATATAACATTTCACTTGTATGTGAAATCTAAAAAACAAATGAACAAAAACAAAATCATAAATACTGAGAACAAACTGGTAGTCGCCAGAGGGGACTGGTGGGGGTTGGATGATGGGCAAAGTAGGTGAAGGGCATAAGAGGTTAAAAAAAAAAAATTCCTACATCATGATCAAATGAGATTCATTCCAGGGATGCAAGGATGATTCAATATGTGCAAATCTGTCAATGTGATTAACAAAGGATAAAAATTATATGATCATCTACGATACCTGGGTGGCTCAGTCAGTTAAGAAGCTGGCCCTTGATTTAGGCTCAGGTCATGATCTCAGGGTTTTGAGATCAAGCCCCATGTTGGGATCGGTGCTAGGCATGGAATCTACTTAAGATTCTCTCTCTCCTTCTCCTTCTGCCCCTCCCCGACTCACATTTGCACTGTCTTTTCTTTCTCCCTCTTTAAAATCTTTTATTAGGGGGCACCTGGGTGGCTCAGTGGGTTAAAGCCTCTGCCTTTGGCTCAGGTCATGATCCCAGGGTCCTGGGATCGAGCCCCGCATCGGGTTCTCTGCTCAGCAGGGAGCCTGCTTTCCCCTCTCTCTCTGCCTGCCTCTCTGCCTACTTGTGATCTGTCAAATAAATAAAATCCTTAAAAAATTAATAAAATAAAATCTTTTTTTTTAAAAAATCATATGATCACCTCAATAGATGCTGAAGAAGCATTTGGTAAAATCCAGTACCTATTTATGAGAAAATTCTCAACAAAGCAGGTATAGAGGGAATGTATCTAAACATAATAAAGGCCATCTATGATAAGACCAGGCCAATACCATACTCAATGGTGAAAAACTGAAAGCTTTTTCTCTAAAATCAGGAATAAGACAAGAATGTCCATTCTTGCCACTTTTATTCAACATAGTATTAGAAATCCTAACCAGAGCAATTAGGCAAGAAAAAAGACCTCTAAAAGGAAGAATTAAAGCTGTCACTATTGGCAAAGGACGTGATATATATATATATATATATTATATATATATCCCTAAAGACTTCATCAAAAACTATTAGAATAAACAAGTCTAGTATAGTTGTAGGATATAAAACCGATACACAAAAATATATTGCATTTCTTAACACTAATGAATTACCAGATACATTGAGAAAACAATCCCATTTACAGTTACATCAAAAAGGATAAAATATCCTAGCATAACACATAAACCATCATTGCCATGAATGAATCCCTATTTTATACACCTGAAACTAATATAACATTGTATGTTGACTATACTAAGAAAAACCACATTAATTTTGACAAAAATTAAAATTTTGGTAACAAGAGAAAAAAGTATAAAATACCTAAGGAAAAATTTAATCAAGGAGCTCAAGGACCTGAAAATTATCAGATGTTAATGAAAGAAATTGAAGAAGATGACAATAAGTGGAAAGATATTCCATGCTCATGGATTGGAAAAATTGTTAAAATGTCCATACTATCCAAAGCAATATAAAGATTCAGTATAATCCCTGTGAAAATTCTACAGAAATAGAATAATCCTAAAATGTTATGAAACTACCAAAGACCCAAGTAGCCAAAGCAATCTTGAGAAAGAAGAACATAGTGGTATCATACTCCCTGATTTTCAAAGTACATTACAAAGGTATAGTGATCAAAACAGTATATATTGCCATAAAAACAGACACATATATCAGTGAAACAGAATAAAGAGCCCAGAGATAAACTCACACATATATAGTCAGTTTATGACAAAAGAACCAAGAATATACAAAGGGGAATGGACAGGCTGTTCAATAAATTGTACAGTTGAACCACTGTCTTATACTGTACATAAAAATTAACTCAAAATGGATTGAAGACTTAAATTTGTGACCTGAAACCATAAAACTCCTAGAGGAAGATGTACGCAGGAAGCTCCTTGACATAGGACTTGGCGACAATTTTTAGAATCTCGACACCAAAAGCAAAAACAAGAGAAACAAAAATAAACAAGTGGGACTACATCAGACTAAAAACTTCATACATGGCAAAGGAAACCATCAACAAAATGAAAAGGCAACCTACTGAATGGGAGTGTATTTGCAGATCATCTACCTGATAAGGAGCTAATATCCAAAATATACAAAGGACTCCTACAACTCAATAGCTAAAAAGGAAAAAAAAAAAAAGTGACTTAAAAATGGGCAGCAGATCTGAAGAGACATGTTTTCCAAATAACACAACAGGTGGCCAACAGGCACATGAGAAGATGTTTAACGTGACTAATCATCAGGGAAATAAAAATCAGAACCACAATGAGCTACTACCTCACACTTTTTAGAATGACTGGTATCAAAAAGACAAGAGACAACAAGTGCTGGTGAGGATGTGGAGAAAAGGGAACCATCGTGCTCTGTTGGTGGCAATGTAAATTGTGGCGGCCGCTGCAGAAAACCATATGGAGGGTCCTCAGAAAATTAAAAATAGAACCTACAGTCCAGCAGTTCTACTTCCAGGGAGCCAACGAAAATGAAAACACTAGATGGAAGAAATAATATACAGCCCCCCCATGCTGATTGCAGCATCATTTACAAGAACCAAAGCATGGCAACAATCTATGTGTACATAAGCAATATGACTGAGCCATCAGAAGGAACGAAATCTTACCATTCATGACAGCATGGGTGGGCCTCAGTGTGGAATAAGTTGGAGAAAGACAAATACCATCTGATCTTTCTTCCGTGTGGAATCTAAAACAAAACAGAAAAACCCAAGCACATAGATACAGTAAACAGATTTGTGATTGCAAGAGGCAGGGGTGGAGGGTGGGAGAAAGGGGTCAACTGCCTTTTTTTCCCTTTTTTCTTTCATTTTTATTTAAAAATTTTAAATAATTTTTTAAGAAATCAGAGGCATGGGAAACCATTCTTTTTAGGCTGTCCCGTTAGGTCGAAGATGTTAAATTTTTCTTGGCAGTGAAAAAAATACACGTTGTATATGTTGATCTTTACCGAGTGTCTGACCGTGTCTTTATAGTAATCCTTGTAAGTAGGCAACAGTGTGGTTATCTGATATTAATGGGACTCTGTCAAGGCTGCAATTACGCAGTTTAAGTCTTTCCTCGTGACACATGTTTATTGACTTCAGTGCTTGAATGTATTCTCCGATGTTAGCTGAAGTCTGCAACTTCTTCCACTGGAAGACATGTATATAGTTGGGCTACCTAGCATCTTCCCAACCTAGAGTGATGGTGACATCTGTATTTGGTTATGAAAGTGGTTCTAAAATGTTTTAAAAAATAGAAAATTACTTGGTGAACCCTTGATACTAACAATGATATGCAGACACTAAGTGCTGGTCCTACAGCTCTTTCCAGTATGTGTGCTGGGTCTAGTCTTAAAAAGTCTTTGAAGGGGGCGCCTGGGTGGCTGGGTTAAGCCTCTGCCTTTAGCTTGGGTCATGATCCCAGAGTCCTGGGATCGAGCCCCACATCAGGCTCTCTGCTCAGTGTGGAGCCTGCTTCCTCCTCTCTCTCTCTCTGCCCGCCTCTCTGCCTACTTGTGATCTCTGTCAAATAAATACATGAAATTAAAAAAAAAAAGTCTTTGAATTAAAAGGGTACTCAAAGGATTTCCTTTGCAGGGACAGAGCAGTTCTGTGTCTGGATTGTGATGGTGGTTATAGGAATCAATCTATACCTGTGACAGAAGGTCACAGAATTATGTATGCACACACATACACACCAGAAAATGCATGTAGAAATTGGTGAACTCCAAGCTGGGTCTCTAGTCTAGGTAAGTTATTGTATCAACATCCATTTCCTGGTTTTGGTATTGTTACTCAGTTATGGAAGATGTTACATGGGATCTCCCTACTGGTTGTTTGTTTTTTTTTTCTGGTATTTTTGCAACTTCTTGTGAGTCTATCATTATTTAAAATAAAAATGGAAATTTAGCAAAGTCAGTTGAGAAAAAAATGACAGCCAGGAAAATAGATTCTTCTTGATATTTGTGATCTTAATAAAACTAATAGAAATGAGTACTTGGAAATAATTGGTGCACCCCAGAGGGTCAAGTCTGTTATCTCATTGTGTTTAAGAAGTGAGCTGAATGCTTGCAATATTGAAGCCAGAAGGCCACTGTTGTTATAGACCTTGAAAGACCAGCCAGAACTGTCCTTGTTGCCTAAAATTAAATAAACTTGTACCATAGCATAAAATAATTGTTTACAGTAGTCAAGGGAATGGCAAGGGTTTTTTTGTTTTGTTTTGTTTTAAAAGAGTTCCAAGTTTTTCAAGTTTGGTGTATGATGAAGTAGAGGCATGAAACATTTAAAAAACATAGAATTTATTGTCAATGAATGTAATTTTGCCCAAACGAAGCCATTCTGAATTAACCATTGAGTGAGTCCAGTTAATGAGAAAGTAATGAATATGTGACTAAACATATTATAGGAAGATTGTTCTATGCTTTTCCTGCTCACTCTCCTCCTCTTTCTTCTCTCTCTTACATTTTCACTTATAACAGGCTTTTATCTTTATTTTTCTCTGGACAACTTTAGTTGAAATAGTTCAGACTGAGCAGGACACTATTCAGAAAATACATTAAAATATCAATATTACAGTGTCTTGAGAACTATGTATCTTCTTGTTTGTATTAAGTAATAAAAAGTTCTTTCAATGTTACAGAAAAGGAAAAATATCAATATTACAATCAAATTAAGCAATAATGAGAAAAAAAGTTGACCTCCAGTAAGACAAATCAAGAAAAGGGGAATTCACAAGTAATATTAGAATGAAAAAGCTGTAGTTAGAGCAGAGATCAAATAATAAGAGAATACTTGGAAAAATTTCATGGCAGTGAATTGGATAAATTCTGCCCCAATTGACAAACCTCTAGAAAATGCATAATGTCTTAAAAAGAAGTAGATAACTTGAATATTTCTCTATATTGAAAGGAAAATGAATGAGTAATTAAAAATTTTCCCCAAAGGAAAACACCAGAATTAGGTGATTTTACAGGTTAAGTTCTCCAGCTTTTGAAGGAAGAGATCCTTCCCTGAGAATAAAGAGAGAGAGCAACCTCCAACTTACTTCAAGAGCAAATATAACTTGAAAATTGAACAACACTGTTATGAGCGGAATCCATCAACAGTGTCACTTCTGAACACAAATGCAAAAATTCCAAACCCCAAATTCGAAAGGTGATGGAAAAAATAATGTGAGACCTTTGAGGTCTGTGTTATAGACTGTGAGTGTCCCCTAAAATTCATACAGATAAAACTAATCCCTAATGAGAGGGTATCAGGAGGTGGGATCTTGGGTGGTAATTAGGTCTAGAGGAGGTCATGGGGGTGGAGCCCCATGATGGGATTAGTGTCCTTACAGGAAGAGGAAGTGATGGATGCTCACACCATCTCTCTCTGCATGCACAGACCAAGGAAGGCTAAGTGAGGAGCTAGCTGGGAAGAGGGCCCTCAGCAAGCACTCAACCATGCTGGCATCCTAATCCCAGACTTGTAGCCACCAGAGCTATGAGACGTAAGTGTTTGCTGTTTCAGCCCCCAGTCTATTGTATTTTTGTTACAGCAGCTCGAACTCACTGAGACAGTCAAGGAAACAGTCTGCTAAATTTTCTTATTAGTTTCAAGAATTTGGAATAGAATTCTTCCTTTACTATTATTTAATCTTAACAATACTGAACTGGACTCCAAGACTGAAAATGAGCATCTTTGCCTTCTTCCTGACTTTTAAAGGAAATGGTTTGAGAGTGTCACCCTTAAGAATGTTGTTAGCTGTAGGTTTTTTTAGATGGACACCTGATCAGATTAGTGGAGTTCTTTCGGTTCCTGGTTTCCTCGTTTGGAAAGACTTAGGAGACAGAACAACCAAGTATAATGAGTGGGTCCTGTTTGGCTCCCAACTCCAAATAACCAAAAGCAGAAAGACAGTTTTTTGAGGTATTCAAGGAAATTTGATTATGGATTGGGTATGAGAGAACAACAACAAATTATTTCAACTTAGGTGTGGTCGTGCATTGTGATAGTGTAAGAAAATGTCCCATTTTTAGTGGTTATTTTTTTGTGTGTGGTAAAATATGTCTGATATAAAATTTCCCACTTTAGCCATTTTTAAGTGTATGAGTTCTACAGCATTAAATGCTTTCACAGTGTTGTGCAACCATCACCACTGTCCATCTCCAGAACATTTTCATCTTCCCAAGGTGAAACTCTCTTCCCTGTTGAACATGAACTCCCCGTCCCTCCAACCCAGCCCCTGGAAACCACCCTCTACTTTCTGTCTCTATGAATTTGACTCCTTGGGTACTGCCTATAAGGACATACAGTATTTGTCTTTTTCTGACTGCCTTGTTTTACCTTGTACAATGTCCTCAAGGTTTATCCATGTTGTGGCCTGTATCAGAATTTCCTTTCTTTTTAAAAGCTAACTAATATTTCATTATATATATCTACCGCATTGTTTATCCATTCATCTGTCAATGAACACTTCCATGGCCTCTACTCTTTGGCTACTAGGACTGCTGCTAAGAACATGGGCGTGCGGATATCTGTTCAAGTCCTTGTTTTCAGTTTTTTCGGATACCCATATATATGTAAAAGTGGGATTGCTGGACCATATGGTGATTCTGTGTTTGAAGAATTGAGAAACTTTTCTACAGCAGCTGCACCATTTCACATTCCCACCAGCAATGCATAAGGAAGGGTTCTTCTTTCTCCACATCCTTGCCAAGGCTTGTTGAGAAAGTGTCCACGTTTTTAATGGGTTTATATGAGATAGAGCTGAAGAAGAATCATTAGTCACTCATTGCCTACAGAGCAGCCATGCCCCACCCATGGGACTTGAGGTCCCACCCCCCCACCCCCCAGCTGACAGGCAGTATGGCCATCTGCTTGGGCAGCCTTTGGTCTTAGCTGTGACCATGCCTATGTTTTCCATGTGTGCCTATAAAATTTCCATTACGTCTCTGAAAGACTTTAAGGGAAAAAAGGAAAACACTCTGATTCCGTGATATGTACATATGTAGTAAAACTGTTAGTTTTTAAAAGGCAAGAAATGCTAGACATTATTCATGATTCTAGAGACCGTTCAGGCAGGGGTGGGGGATGTCACCATAGTATTGGTCATGTTCTGGTTTTTAAGGTGGTGCTGGTTTCCTCCGTTCCTTATTTTTTTTTAAAGATTTTTTTTTGTAAGTTCATCACTTTAATAATAATTCTTTTGCTGTTTACTTTTTTTTTTAATTTAATATTATTTTTTATAAACATATATTTTTATCCCCAGGGGTACAAGTCTGTGAATCGCCAGGTTTACACATTTCACAGCACTCACCATAGCACATACCCTCCCCAATGTCCATAACCCCACCCCCCTCCCAAACCCCTCCCCCCATCAACCCTCAGTTTGTTTTGTGAGATTAAGAGTCACTTATGGTTTGTCTCCCTCCCAATCCCATCTTGTTTCATTTACTCTTCTCCTACCCCCTTAACCCCCCATGTTGCATCTTCTCTCCCTCATCTCAGGGAGATCATATGATAGTTGTCTTTCTCCGATTGACTTATTTCACTAAGTATAATACCCTCTAGTTCCATCCACGTCCTCGCAAATGGCAAGATTTCATTTCTTTTGATGGCTGCATAGTATTCCATTGTGTATATATACCACATCTTCTTTATCCATTCGTCTGTTGATGGACATCTAGGTTCTTTCCATAGTTTGGCTATTGTAGACATTGCTGCTATAAACATTCGGGTGCATGTGCCCCTTCGGATCACTCTGTTTGTATCTTTAGGGTAAATACCCAGTAGTGCAATTGCTGGGTCATAGTGTAGTTCTATTTTCAACATTTTGAGGAACCTCCATGCTGTTTTCCAGAGTGGTTGCACCAGCTTGCTTTCCCACCAACAGCGTAGGAGGGTTCCCCTTTCTCCGCATCCTCGCCAGCATCTGTCATTTCCTGACTTGTTAATTTTAGCCATTCTGAATGGTGTGAGGTGATATCTCATTGTGGTTTTGAGACAGAGATCACAAGTAGGCAGAGAGACAGGGGAGGGGTGGGGAGCAGGCTCCCCGCCGAGCAGAGAGCCCAATGCGGGGCTTGATCCCAGGACACTGAGATCATGACCTGAGCCAAAGGCAGAGGCTTTAACCCACTGAGCCACCCAGGTGCCCCTCCTCAGTTCCTTGTTATGATGCCTCATTACCTCCATAAACTGCATATATCCTTTTGTATATTTAGTATTACATAACTTACATTTTTAATCCTCAACTAGTAACTTTTATTCCTTAGGACTGTTGTTCCTGCTTGTTGGTCAAAGGTCCAGGGCTGGTCTGAAATTTCAGCTGGTATGGTCAAAGGCAGAAAGAGAGGATAGAGTGAGTTGTATAAAGCTAAATGTATTTGATTTCAAGGATTGTATATGTTCTTTAATTACATCCTATTTCATTTGGTGTTAAGAGAACCTTCAGAAATGAGCATAGAGTTAAAATGATTCAGTTTGTTGTCTTGTTCTATTGTCTTAGCAAATAGCAAACAGAAAAAGTAGACGACCTTGTGTAGGGTCATTACCATTGAAAAATATTTTCTCTGGTCCTTGAAATGAAAAATTCCAGGAATTATTGCCTCAGAGAACACAGAACTGTATTCATGAGACAAACACCAAGGCTGGTAATACTCATGGTAGTGATTTTACTTGCTACCTTTTACACAGAATGCATCTCTTCAACTTAAACAGGTAATTTAGAGGAACCATTGATTGGCCCTATCTAAAAGCTCTTGAATAAATTTGAATTACTCAGCAGAGGCAAACTCTAAGTCAGTAGGGCTAGAGTCTCAAACATCAGCTGATGATCACAATTAACATCTGAGTACATACTCTACCATTGACTATTTCATAGAGATTTTCTCCCCTGAATCCTCAGAATTACGATTATTGCCATTTAACTGATAACCGAGACTTTGGGTAATGTCTTGCTCAGCATCACAGAAGCCAGGAAAAGGGGAGCTAGAATTCAGAACCAGTTTGACAGCATGACACTTCACTGATGCTTGTTTTTAGTACTTAATTGGCTACCACGTGTTGGCCCCACCAGTGAAAAGCTAAAATGCTAAGGGCTGCAAAATAGGTCCTGAGTATTGAATTCAGAACTCAGCCCAGTCCCTTTCAGTACCTCTCATATTTTTGAATTGTCTTGAGATTAAAAGAGTCCAGAATCCCAGAGCTTGAAGGCGGGGGATGCAGAGTTCACTGGAAACATTACAGTTTTACCACTGAGGTCTTTAAATGCACACATAGGCAGTGACCTAATGGCATTTCTTTCTTGTGTCCCTATGAGACATCAGCAAATACATGATATAAATTCAGCTGGAGGCAAAAGACTTTGGGGGAGAAAGGAGTTCCAGGCAAACTCCAGTGCACGGTGGCTGAGGCATTGTGGGGAAGAGGGAAGAAGATGGTATAGCTTCTGGCCAAGGGGCATAAACAGAAGTTCAGAAGACAGTGGAGTGAAGGGTTTTTTTTAATTTGTTTTTTTGTTTTTCAGTTGTTTTTCTTAAATTAACATATAATGTATTATTAGCCCCCGGGGTACAGGTCTGTGAATCATCAGGCTTACACACTTCACAGCACTCACCATAGCACATACCCTCCCCAATGTCCATAACCCAACCACCCTCTCCCTATCCCCCTCCTCCCGGCACCCTCAGTTTGTTTTGTGAGATTAAGAGTCTCTTATGTGGGGCACCTGGGTGGCTCAGTGGGTTAAGCTGCTGCCTTCGGCTCGGGTCATGATCTCAGGGTCCTGGGATCGAGTCCCACATCGGGCTCTCTGCTCAGCAGGGAGCCTGCTTCCCTCTCTCTCTCTCTGCCTGCCTCTCTGTCTTCTTGTGATCTCTGTCAAATAAATAAATAAAATCTTAAAAAAAAAAAAAGAGTCTCTTATGATTTGTCTCCCTCCCAATCAGGAGTGAAGTTTTTGAGTGAGAGAGCTTAAAACGAGGGGCGGTGGGCAGTCAGGCTCCTTAATCGCCTGAGAGATAAAGGAAAGGCAAAAGAAAATTCAGAATGTTTCCAGACAATGTTTTCTCAGTGGAGGAGAAGTGGGGAAATGCTCATATAAGGCAGTGCATTCTAATTCATATTGTAGTAATGTGAAGGCTTTGAACTATGCTCCTATTTTCTCATTTTTAGATTCTTTATCTCTTCATGTTTGTCTGTGAGCATTTGCCAGGGCTCCTCCTTGGTCATACATATTGCCTCCCAGCATTTCAAAATCCTTATGAATTGTATGCAGCTTCCCCCCCTTCCTAGCAAGATGAGACTTCCCCTTCTCTTTCTCTTATCCTCTCCTGTCCTCCTTTTTCTTCTTGTGTCAGTTGCCTATTATTGTGTAACAAATCACCCCAAATCACAGGGGCTTTAAAACAATGTGCTGTCATCTCCCACAGCCTTGGGAAATGACTACACTCATTTGGGTGATTCTGACACAAGGTCTCTCGTGCAGCTGTAGTCAGATGCCAGCGGGGGTTGGAGTCCTCCAGCATCTCCACTGGAGTGGGCATCTAAGACGACATCTTAGCTAAAGGTGTGGTGCTTCAGCTGAAGTGGTCAGAGGCCGACTGGACTCTTCCCTCTCTCCCTTCATCTGTCTCTTCATGTACCATACAGCGTTGCTACGTGGTTAGCTTGGGCTTCCTCACAGCATGGAGGTTCAGAGTAGTTGGACTTCTTCCATGGTAACCATCTTTCCCCCAGATAAGCATTCCAAGAAACCAAAGTGGAAGGAAGTTCAAAGCTTGGAAGTCACTGAGCACTACTGTTGCTTGGTTGATTGGTCAAGAGAAGGTCACAGAGCCCACCTCAGGGGACGGGGATACCACCCAACAGTATGAATACAGGGAGGTGTGGTGATGATGCACTTCTCTACAACTAACTACTGCATTTCCAATTTATTGAAATTTCTGTTTACTTCTTATGACCAAAATGTCTTAAGTCACTGTCTTATATCTTGAGTCACAGTCATGATTTATGATTCCTTCTTTGTAGTTGTCATTTATATTCATAGCAATTGAAAGACTTCCTTGAGGAATTCTTATGGATTCTTTTGAATGAATCTTAATGTATTTTTATTTATTGATATTAAAATTTAAGTACCCTAAGGAAAAGCTATGTGACTTTTTTTCTTTTCTTTTCTTCTTTATTTTTTTTTAATCTCTTTGGGAAATCAGATTTAATTCACTTTTTAACCGCTGATGATAACATATCACACTTAAAGGGAGATCAGTCTTAGGGAAAAGCGATACACCCTCATGTATGGGTGTCCTTCAGTGAACTCGCCAGCAAGATTGCTTTTCATGCTTAGCCACTAAAACCTGTTCTCTTGTTGGGACTGAACCATGGTTTACTTTCTGATTAGACCTTTTTTTTTTTTTTTCCCTTTTATCAAGCTCTTACACAAGTCAGAGCTTATTATTTTTTTTTTTTTACAACCCTCACGCCAAAAAGAGATAACTTGAATCTAAAAGATTTAGTATAGTCCCATGGCAGTTTCAGAAATTCTTTATATAAAACCTCCTACGTATAGATGGCTTAACTTTCCTCAGCTTCTGCAAATGCCATTGAGGCCTTATGTTCTTGTAAGGAGTTATTGGCTTTTTTTCTTTTTTAAAGAAATTAAATCTCCAAAGCTTTTCTCTAGTGATTATGGAGAACAACATAAGTGGGAGAAAAAAGGGCAGTTGGAGGTAGCAAATAATTTGATTTTTTTTTTCTCCCCTTACCCACAGCCCTGGGAACACTCTGCCATGAAGGATTAATTTGCTCGTGAGATTTCACTGCGGTTGCCATTAAGAAAAAAACTAACAGGAACAGTAGGGCAGAAGTGCTTCCAAACCCTGGAGAAAAGAGTCAAGGATTTATGGTGGGAAGCAGAGCAGTCCTTTTTCTCTTTTACAGCGTTTATGAGGGAAGCTCTGAGGTTGATACCGCTTGTCTCACATAGGACTTGACATAGACAGTTGGAAGCCCGACTCTGAGAAATGGTCATTAGTGGGTGTAGTTTTCCATAGTGTGTCTTTGTGCAGGGGAAAGAGTTCATTAAAAAAAAGAAAAGATCTCAGACTCCATTCTTGCCCAGTTTTTAGAAAAGCATTAGGAAAAATAGCAAGGTATACTGTTGGTCATTCGCTTCCACGTGTCTGTCCTCACAGTTGGGTTCTGCGATTGAGTGGAGGGGCCCCGGCCTCTGAGCCCGGCAGCCCTCCCTTTGTTCTGGGAGAAGGAGGGCAGTGCACTAGGGTGAGAGCAGCATTTTCTCTGAAGCTTTACCCTAAACTCCTCCACAAAACTTTCTACTGAACAGCAGGCAAAATACGAGGACTCTTGGACCTTTTGGGCTGAGGCCGAAGCGCAGCTCATTCCCTTCCTGAGACCCCCTCCCAGAGCTCGGCTCAGGAGCACCCTTGGTCATGCCAACTGCTTGATGGGGGGAGATGACCTAACCTGAGGGGTCCAGGCAGCAGGAAGGAAAGGGGGGCCACAAAGGGGTCACCGGGGCCAAGATCGCCAGGGACGTTCTTATTCATCCTTTCCTCCATTCTCACCACTGCCTTGGGAAGCCCTGTTAATTCCTGCCTCCGAAGGTGAGGAAAACTGAAGCCAAGAGTTTACATAATTTGCTTTCATGCAGCTGACTTCAACCAAGTATGTGAGGTATTTCAACCAAATAAAATCTAAGAATTTTATTTAATCCTTGGGTAAAATGAGGGATTTTAATCTCAGCCCGTCTGACAGCCCAGCCACTGTTGGTCCTTGCCCTCCTCCCCCAATCCCTCTCCTAAGCCATTGGTAACCGGTAAAATCCACTTATGAATGGAAATGGGGCAGCTTTCTTGAGGTGAGCCTGTGGCACTTAGTCCAGTAACAATAGTTGTCACTCTCTCTTGTTTAATCTTATAGTGGAGTACGAGAAGGAGTTCTCCCCTGGCCAGCGACACCACAAAGAGTTCAAGTTCAACTTATCCCAGATTCCTGAGGGTGAGGCGGTGACGGCTGCAGAATTCCGCATCTACAAGGACTGTGTTGTGGGGAGTTTTAAAAACCAAACTTTTCTTATCAGCATTTATCAAGTCTTGCAGGAGCATCAGCACAGGTATGAAGGCTCAAGGAACCCCAACGGGTGGGGCTGGCCCCCATTTCTCACCCTGCCATCATCTAACCCCGAGTATGTCTGTGGAAGGGCGTTTGGAGGTCAGGGGCATCGTGTGAACATGATGAGGGATGTGCTCTGAATGGTAGTGTTCAGCCAGCAAGATGACTTTTTTGTTACTAAAATGAAGATTTTCCAAATAGTTTTCCTCTCCTGAGCAAAGCCAATGGACAGTATCCACTCAGCATCCTTTGTGATCAGAGAACATATGCCTTATTGGGGACAAAACATTTCCCACCATGGCTCAGTGCCTGCTTTGAACGATGGGTGAGGGGAGCGAAAATAAACTCATACACTAGTGTCATGTAAGGATGATTACAAATGATACTAATTCAAGTTAGTAGAAAGCTGTGTGTTTGCATATAATATATACACATACATGATCTAGTGTGTGTGTGTGTGTGTGTGTGTGTGTGTGTCTTGAATGTATCTATCTCTTCTCATTTGGATACAAGGAAACAATACGCTATCCTTCCCCATTGTGTCTGCAACAGTCTTGCCTTTGGAAATGAGGCCAGACTGTTTTTATAAAAGAACTTCAACAGAGTATGGTCTTGGGGCTACCAATAAAGAAAAACTTCCACGGAGGGATTTCTGAGGAATAGAAGGGCCAAGGGAAGAACTATTGCAGCAGCTAGTTCGATCCTGTAGCACGCAGAAAGCAAGGCAGTGACCTTGACTTGTGCTTCGTATCTGGGGTTTGGGCAGGAACTAGCACCACTGCACTCTCAGTGCACATGACGCAGCAGGTGGTGAGACAGCCTGGCAATTACATGAGAAATAGGCTGATAACAACTAAAGGAAGAGAGCGCAAACTCTGCAAGGTATTTGCCAGCTTTGGTTTCATGTACCACATCCGATTCTTGCTTTTGATCTTGGAAATCTGTTGACTTCCCAAGAATGTCCAAAGTTTGAGGAATGACTTTGGTTTCTCCTGGGCTTAGGGATCTGTGTGTGGCTCTGCTACAAACAGGCACACTAAAATAATAACAAACATTAACTTGCCCCATAAAGGGCTTATTTTGAGAGCACTGCCCTTGCGCATGTTTGAGTGTGTAATGAGGGAAACAGAGAAGAAGCAAAGACACATGCCAGGCTTTGGGGACATGTCATGGTGTTGATTATAAGAACTGTTGGTTGTATGTGAGTTCTTAGTAGGGCCAGTTAAAGTAAAATATAGCCACTGTGGTATCTGTAACTAACATTTCAGAATGAAGGGGAGGTTTTTCTGATGTCTGATTTTCACCCCTAAACAAAAGTATCATCAATGACTTAACCATCGAGGGCCTCTTTTGGAATAATAAATTAATCACTGATAGATTTTTGTCTTATTATTTCAGAGAGAACTGATACTCTGTGGTGATTCATTGGGCCTGCTTTAGCCATTGATTTTCAATCTGCCTAATTATCTGTCCACTGTATCTGGTAAAAATAACCAACTAGTACTTTTCTGGCTCAGACATCGGTTTGGAATACATGGTTTTCTCTGTTCTGCAGGAAATGTTTGTTTGTTTGTTTGTTTTAAAGATTTTTTTTATTTATTTATTTGATAGAGAGATCACAAGCAGGCAGAGAGAGAGGAGGAAGCAGGCTCCCTGCTGAGCAGAGAGCCTGATGCGGGGCTCGATCCCAGGACTCCGAGATCATGACCTGAGCCGAAGGCAGCGGCTTAACCCATTGAGCCACCCAGGCACCCCTGCAGGAAAGGTTTTTTAAAGTGAAAACACTAGATTAGGATTTTTTTAAACTATGGGATTTTTCAAAATTATTATTATTTAAAAAATAGAGCAAGCAGACTGTTTGTAAGGTTTATATTGAACTCCGGCCAAAACTGAACAGCTGCCTTGCGCTTGAGACGGTGGTGTCATACTTTCTGGAGGCCAGCAGTGAGTTTGGAAAACAAAATCCCAAACAGTCCCAACCTTTGATGACTCTGTCAAAGCAGAGTTGTCATTTCCCTGCCTTCTAGGACAGAAGTATCTGGCCACTGGCTGTGTTGAACTTTTGTGCATAGGAAAGGGGAAATACGGGGAGGATTGGGAGAATTTCATGCTTTTAAAGGGCTCCAGGTTGGCCAACAGGAGATTTTCTTTTCTTATCAGTGGGTGAGGAGCCCAGGCCTCCTGCTGTGCCCCTGAAGTTCTTCCAGGGGCCTCCAGATTTAACTGCAGGACTCCTTCTGGGCAAGGTTTGATCTCCCCATCGGTACCGTCTTGGGGTGTCCTGGCTAGAAACGATCCTCCCGGCTTGGGAAGAAACTCACTTGTCTAATCTGTGTGTGAGTGAAATTTGTAGTATTTGACGGATTCACTTAATGTCCAAAGTTTGTTTTGCAAATCAAATTTGATTTTTCAAATCACTGGCCTCCTTGAAAAGGAAAAGTACAAAAGGCAGGTTTTTCGATGCTGAGTCGTACCTCAGCTGAGGCAGAAGAAGTGAGGTGTTGGGCCTCTTGATAGTAAAGCAGCTAAGAAGGGGATGGTCAGAAAAGATTCTTGGAAGATTGGCCATAGCTATGAATTCTGCAGAAACATTATTCTTAACCGATAAGAAATCACTGGGCCTGGTAAGTTAAAAAAAAAAAAGTGACTACTTGAATAGCTGGTGCTTTGAGTCAGAACAGGGGAACATTGGATACTTCAGTCAAAACCTGAGAATAAGCCCTGAGATAAGACTAAATTGTGGAAAGATCTGGAGCACCCCAGTGAGCAGAGCTGGGTCGGCAACCCGACAGCACGTGCGGTTAAATCAGAGTAGCACAGGGCGTTAATATCTGGTATTATAAATCATTGTTTTTATGAGGACACTGGTAGAAATTGGCATCTGCAGAGCCCTTAGAGTTTGGGAAGAGTCTTCTGACATCTTCCCTGGCTAGGATTTAACCACGGACCCCATCAGATAAGCAGGGCAGGCATGTTACCTTTCAGTGAATGAAATCTGGCACACAGGAGTTTGGCCAAGTCCAAGTGTTGTCTGCTGTTTCCCAAAAGTCATCCCGATGACATGGGGTCAGTCCCAAGATCAAGGTGAAGCGCCAATAAAAGGTAAGAAATCCCCTGAGTGGACGTCCCTCATCTCCGTCTGCTTAGCTGGGATGCAGACGTGCCGAGGGTGCTTCTGTGCGCATGTGCAGTGAGATGGGTCAGTTGGGGATGCAAATGTGTCAGTTAGAATTCAGGCCCTGGTTCTTTGACTTACCAGGCTTTGCTTTTCTTTTTTAAAGATTTTATTTTTATTTATTTGACAGAGAGACATCACAAGTAGGTAGAGAGGCAGGCAGAGAGAGAGGGAGAAGCAGGCTCCCTGCTAAGCAGAGAGCCCGATGGGGGCTCAATTCCAGGACCCTGAGGTCATGACCTGAGCCGAAGGCAGAGGCTTTAACCCACTGAGCCACCCAGGAACCCCTCACCAGGCTTTACTATTGTTGATCTATTGAGCAAGCATTCACCTATTGTCCACTTTTCTGGAGGAACGGTATGGACAAGAAAAAAGACTAGAAGAAAATATATGCAAAAGCATTTGTACTTATTCCGAGTGTTATCTGTTTGTCCATTGACTTTACTCTGTTCTCCCCAAATTCCTACACACGGAGCTGTCTGCAGCTTGGAGTAGAATGGCTGCTCTGAATACCTTCGACCTGTATTTATGGTGGTAGCACGTTGCTTTTCAGAACATGTACTCATGATCTTTACTTTTATAGCACCTTTCAGATTAATAGTGCAATTTTGAGGCCTTTCAAGAATATCATTTTCATCTACATTTCTTGTTTGGTTAAAAACACTTTTACTGTTCTTAATTGAATTTTGTATAATTAGAAGTCAAAGTCAAACAGCATCTCTTGAAAGCCAGCCAGAAATGGTTTTGGTGTCTGAAAGATGGCCCTATTTGATACATGAATTAGCCCACTTACTTCTGCTAGTTTTGAAATTCCATTTTCTACCCTGTGTGTTTTGGCATCAGCGTGGCTGGCAGTGATGGTCTGTCCTCTGTGTATATGATAACTTTCCTGCATTCTATCATGGTGCAGTCTGGAAGACCTGGAGAGCGAGAATTAATTCCCAGATTTAAAATTCAATTCCTCCTGGTGTAAGCAATATCACAGCCTACTCCTCTGTTGTCAAACAGGCAAAGTTTCCTTCCTTCCTTCCTTCCACGTGTTTTATCTTAACTTTATTATCTTTAGGATGTGAAGACCTGTATATTTGAGTCAAGGGATCAGGGCAATGCTACGTTAGAGATGGACTTTGAAACCAAGAAGGATTTCCTTGGGTGACCCAGAAGCCCTGCTAGCAGAGTCCCCGGGAGCAATTGCAGACTGAATTATTGCTACGCTGAATTTTGACAAAGTTCACCATTTCTGAACTGTTTCACAGATAGAGTGTAATTGTTTCAGGAGAGAAAATAACTGTCAAAGGGCAAAAACACATTTTTCCAGAATTTTTAGTTTGATAATGCTCCTCTGAACCATTTGCAGAGACAGAGGATGCAGGAATAAGTGAGGGAAGGGGAATGAGGATGAATTCAGGTTTGGACATGTTCGAGACACGAGTAGATGCCCCAGAGGCAGTGGGATATGAAAGTTTTTAGCTCAGCAGGATGAGCTAACCTAGTAGATATTTGAGATCCTAAGTGATCTCAAATGCTCTTCATTCTCTTAGTTTTATAAGAAGGCTTCATATCTGGTGTATAAATTCTTCAAATACTGAGACTTTCTTGGCTATTTATGGCCGTTTGCATTACCACATAAATTGTAAAATCAGCATTTTCATTTCTGTAAAGAAACTTGCTGAGCTTCTGATTGGAATTACATTAAATCTAGAGGCCAGTTTGGGAAGAATGGACTCTTACTAATACTAAATGTGGTATTTAGGCTTTCTTTCACTTTTCTCAGTAATATTTTGTAACTTTTATGTCTTGAATATTTTTACTGGATTACTATTATT